GGGTAATCAGCAGCATCTGTTGCCTCTCCTCGGGGCCATTAATTAGATTAAATTAATTTGAAAGCTGTGAATGTATGATCCCGTACTAGGAGGCCTCACACCATCACACACACACACACACACACACACACACGCCAACACAACATATAAATATATGTACAATAGTATATATTATTTATAAATATATATGTATATATTTACATGTACATATATATTCTCATGTATAATATAATATCCATGCGCTCAGTTAATAAAAACACGCTAACGTTCTCTCATAAACCATGTGAGATCTGAAAAAACAAACAAACGAAGAGATGGTAAATGAGCAAAGGTGAAAACTTCAGAGACAAGTGCGAGCGCACGAGCGCAAATTAATCCCAATTTGTCGGCCTTGGCGCGGTGGGAAACTTTTGGGATTTCATACTTCATACCAGCTTTTGTCACCTTTGCGTGAACGGCCCGCAGCCGAAATAATTGTCTTTTGCTTCCCCGAGGCCCAGTCAGCGCTCACAAGCCACTGGCCTACGTAATGTGTTTCACACAGGGGTGGGCGGGGGGCGCTGTAGACAGACTGCAGCGGTGAGCACCATACTTAAGAGCTGCTGTGTTTGTGTGTCTCTGTGTGAAGGTACCAGATGTGGGTGGGGTCGTGTTCGTATGAGCGGGAAGAAGTTGTGTGTTTTGTGTGTTTATATGTGTGTGTGTGTTTGTGACACTGTGAGACTTCACGACTGTGTCTAAGTGTAAGAGGAGGCACATGGTGTGGAAATGGCCCTAATGGAGTTGGATCTGGTCCACAGTGGACAGGACAACACACCACAGAGAGCGAAAGAAAAAAAAAAAAAATATATATATATATATATATATATACATACATATATATACATATATATACATATATAGATACTTACATATATATACACATACATACATATATATACATACATATATATACATATATATACATATATAGATACTTACATATATATACACATACATACATATATATACATACATATATATACATATATATACATATATAGATACTTACATATATATACACATACATACATATATATACATACATACATATATATATGTATGTATGTATATATATATATATACACATACTTATTGTGGGAGTTACTCTTCAAACATAAAAAGTTCGGCGGAATTTTAAACCGTGAATGAGTCGACGACAATAATCGTGTCCACAAAGTCTCTGCCGGAAATGTTCGTTAACCAGTCGTTAAAGAAGACTTGAAGCAGATCTTCTCAGTGTCCGTCTGTTTTTTTGTTTGTTTTGTTTTTTTTTTTACCTTATTCAACAGCAAAATATTGATATAAAAAAAATGTCATGTCAGGTAAAAAGAAAACAAACCGAGTGGTTAAAATGGCTGTTTTTTTTAATCGATATTCAAAGTGTGGCAACAACAGGAGACAGACTGTCAAACAGCATGAGCCGTGGAAATCCCTTCTTTGCTGAGTGACATTGATATAATGTGGAAGAGGAGGAAAAAAAAGGTGAAGTACGAGCTGGAAGAAGAGAAACGTGAAGGACGAGGAAGAGGAGGGGGGAGAGAGGAGTAGGCAGGGGGTGAGTGGGTGTGAAGGAGTGTGTGTGTGTGTGTGTCACTGTATATGCAACGTATTCAGGCATAAGAGCTTCTCACTTTAAATACAACAGTGTGTCTTGTGTATATGGCTGTGTGTTATTCAAATCCTCCTGCCAAAAAAAAAAAAAAGCTTTGGAGATGTGGGAAGTTGGTCTACCATCTCCAGCTTTGGTGGATATGCAAACACAGAGAGCGAGGATACACACATTAACACACACACACACACACACACACACACACTCTCTAAAGAACCTGTAGGCTCAGTGCCTTCCAATGCAGCCGTACAATCTTTTCACCGTCAATTTATCCACCTTTTTTTTGATAATATATGCACCTACGTGAAGAAGGGTGAAAGGCGAGGGTAGCGTGCAATTTAGAGATATTACCACCGAGCCATTTGCAGGCGGCCAGCTCTCCCACTCTGTCACTTTCTCTCTCTTTTCTCGCCATCTTTTGATTATGCGATTTGCCCTGGCAGTCGAACAAATAGAGGGGAGAAAAAAAAAAAAAAAGGTAGTGTTTGACACTGCCGTTTTCAATGACAAAATACAATCTATCCAGGGCCAGTAATTCGACGGGGAGGGATTAGCCCTAGCACGAGGTTGGGCCCCCAGATTAAGACGAAGCCACAGCGCCGGGATCTTGAATTTCATCATCTCCTGCGCTCGGGCACAATGGCGTATTCTTCCCCTTTCTCCTCCGCCGTCTGATGAGGGGTCAGGAGAGCTCACCTCTCCTCTCCTCCCCCCTCTCCCCCCCTTCCCTCCTCCATCTCCTCACTGCTGCATTCATTCATCTCTTCTGACTTTTATTAGCTTAGATACCTGAAGGGTGCTAAGGAATGAGGGGAGCGCTGGGAGTTTGGGCGTCGTGCTCACGCACACACACACAGAGAGAGAGTGAAAATAAAGTATTGAATATTTGAGTATTACTGCATGATCCTATCAATGCACAAACAAATACAAATACTACAGAAAAGACAGGCAAACAGGTGACATTTGACAAATTATGGAGCAAACAGAAAGTGTTTTTGTAGAGCTTAGGTTAGACTGCCCCCTGGTGGCCACTCATGCTCCCCCCTCACGCCTGCAGCTCTGCTGTTTTGACAGAAATAAATCGTTTAGAGATATTTCTAATTACCAAGCACACTTGACTTCGTGGAGTCTTTGTTATTACACAGCGTCACGTTCAAAGCATAACTCAGCTCCACTGTCGCTGCTCTTTACACCAGGAAATATGCAGCGTATGAGAGGCTGACAGTGACAGATATGTTCACATGTACTTCTCACCCTCAGCCTCTGGGGTCTGTAGTCGACATGAAGCAGTAAAGTCAGAGGTAAATCTGACAGGCGCTGAGTTACAGCTCTGCATAAATCATCATGAGTCTTAATTGTTAAAGACCAAACACGCAGTAAAATGATGTTTCAACAGGTTGTTTTTGGTCTTTAATAGAGGAGAGGAATGCACCGTAACATGGCATTAAACGTATAGACTTGGCACAATGACTGAATATAAAGTAATCTAAAAAAAAACAAAACAAAAAAAAAAAACCTTTGTTCAACATGCAGTGTTTTAATCTAGATGTGAAAAGTTACTTCTGGGGTTTTATTTTTAATTTAATTTGATGGGTAAGGTGAAATCAAAAGAAAATTTAGATGTTTACAGCGCCCCCAGCTGGATCAGGCTAAATCACTGTATAAAGTACAGTGTACTTGAAAAGGTTTTGAAACCACAAATCTAACGCTTGTTTAAAAAATTGTTAAAGCTTCAAACAAACAGTGTCAGCCTTGGTTAATTTCACCTTTTCCTAGTTAAGTGGTTCCAAAGTAGGGGGCGGGTCCTTCCTGTGGGTCATGCAGCTGTGGCAAGTCAAAATTCTTTTTTTTTTTCTCTAACACTTTTAAGGTTCAATTTCAGATTTTTTTTTTTGTCCAGAACCTTGCAGTAACATTTTGGACATTAGTGGGCGCTGTCTCCAAACTTTAAACAAACAAAACGTTCAAATTATGAATCCACCGCCGCCCTAATAAACCATCAAAACAACTAATCTCAGCGGGTCAAACTTTAACCTTGTTGTCATTCTGTCACTGCCTTCTCCTTCACCTCCTTTCTCCGTTTCCTCCCTCCTTCTCTGTCCCTCCCTCTCTCCACTCCTGCTTTGATCTTCCTGTCATTAGTCAGGTATGCAGTGACAAACTCAAAGCCCACCACCTTGCCTTTCTCTCTCTCTCTGTCTCTCTCTCCCTCTCCCACGCTCCGTCCAGAGGACACCAGCTGACCTGCTTGTCTTCTCGGCTCCCAATCAAAGACAAAAATGTGGAGCAGCCTCTGCTGCCGCTCCTCTGAGCGTCAGGCCTACAGAAAGTGACAGTGTCAAAGCGTCTCCATTACTGAGACGTCTTTTTTTTTTTTTTTTTCTTCAATCAACATTCTTGAAGAAGGTGGAGGAGCCTCAGATCAGGTCCGTCGGTGGTAATTACCCATGATGCCTGCTGCCTCCTTCACATGCACATTGCAAGTTTACACTTTAAAAACTGTGTGAGTGTCAGTTTCAGATCGACTGAAGAGCTTAAAGAAACTGAATCTGTTTGCTGAAAAAGCACCCTCCTCGAAAGGTGAACAAACACAAAAAAAGTAAATATTTTTTCAGCTTCTCATGCAGTTTTTTTTAGCAGGTAAAAACTTGCACTTCCTAGAAAGTGGAGTTTTGCCAAGAGGTTTGGCAGCTCGTTAAAACAAAGAGCCCGAGGTCTTTGCTGAAAATCATTCAAATCAGTACAAACTACTCACAAAATATTTGTCACGAAAACAGACGAGTTTGTGGAATATTTGACTTTTTTTTAACATATTTGTGTTTATCTGTTTATAGAACACATATATACCATGTGTTATATACTATTAACTCTGTGTTTACAGCCTGATTATATCAGAATTGACAGTAAAAATAATAAATGATCTTATAAGTAAAAACATGTTCACATTTCATACATCTACCTACGCATTTATTAGTAATAAATTAGAAAAATAATTCAAAAAGTGCTATTTTGGGTCGGACGTAGAAATGTTACTTGAAATTAAAAAAAAAAAAAATTAATGGTTATGCTTCTGTGGTAAAGACATGTTTTCAAAAATCATAATGGTTGTCATCCACTTCTTCATACCGGCTGACGTTCAAGGATGTTCAAACATGTGATTACGCAACATGGCCACAAGGTGGCAGCATATGCACATCTATAGTAAACTATTTCCTTCAGAGGTAGACGTGGTAAGTCAATAAGAAGGACTTCCTGTGATATTTCCCTATGTAAATGATATAGACTTTTGTACTCAGTGATTTAATCGTGAGAAAATACTTGAAAAACGAAGTGTAGTTTCAGAACTTACATTTTCAATGACAAATGTCCACTCTTTGTCTTCAAACTCCTCTGCGTGGGGATCCTGCAGTGACAGGATTAACAAACAAAAAAAAAAAAAAGTTAACTTGTAGAAGAAAGAATTAAACAGAAGAATCACAGATTAACAGTAAACACAAGGCAGCGTCTAACTATAACAGCATTAAAAATTATATACGTATATATACAATTATATTATCAGTTCTGATTTCTCTTCAGCTCCAATTCTGCTTCAGTGGAGAAAATCAAAGTGATTCAAACAAAGATGAATGTCCCATAAAGGTTTATTTGATTTGTGCCTCTCAGTATAACTGCCTGAGTCATGCAGCAGTCGGTGTCTTTGCTCTCGCTCTCAAAACAAACACAGCTTTTATTACTTCCTGTGGGACAGGAAGTGGACGTGAGCACAGAAGAAGAGGGTGGGGAAAAAAACGTGTGGAACTCCATCAGCAAAGGCCTAAAATGTCATCTGACAAATTTGTTTTTTCTGTTTTTACTCAGGTTGGAATTCTTGTTTTACTGATGGTTTTTCTATTTTTACTCAGGTTGGAATTCTTGTTTATGACACAATATTTAATCAATGACAGTTTGCACCTAGATCTAAAGTTAACAGATCTGCCGCTCCTTTTCAAAGCAGAGGAGGGAGTAATGAGCAGCCAGAGACCTGGTGAAGACCTGAAGAGAAAGGTAAGAGGACACTGAGCTGTGAGGCAGCCTGTCAGCAGAGGAGCTCAGGAAGTTTAAGTAACGAGAAGCAGGAACGACGACAGACTCTGTCTTTACACGTGTGCAGGTTACAGTCACGGCTGTACTGGTATTTCACATGTAAATACTTTGGCTAGAAACTCAAAACTGAAGCCAGAAAACTACACACACACATAGGTTTCGTGTACTTCAATAGTTTCGCAAATAAAATTACATATAATCTCTGACCACAAGAGGGCACCCCCAAGCATAAAAGGAGGCAGAGCTCCAGTTTCCTTAGATATATATAGTTTTGGAAACTTCGGAAATCTTGTTAGCCTGTTACAGTACGATCTTTAGGCTATTGTGTAAATGCACCACACAAATGAATGATTTTACATGTTTAAACTTTTGTTCTTGGATTCCTCCACTGTGACTTAAATCTTTTTTTTTATCCTCTTTATTGACAGGTGCGACTAATACTCCAATTACTCACCTTAAAAAGAGTGACGGTGATCTCAACGTTCTCTGGTACCGGCCAGACCACCACACCTCTGTAGGGGTTTTTGATACCGGGCTGCCAACCATGGGCCTGACAAGGAGACGCAGACAGGACAGAGGAGAAAATTATAAATTACACGGGAGGATGTATCATTATTCTTGATGATGATTTTTTTGTTTTTTTGCACAAACCTTCGAGGATTTTAATTACACAGGAGGATGTATCACTATTCTTGATGATGATTTTTTTTGGGTTTTTTTGCACAAACCTTCGAGGATTTCCGTCGACTCCTCCGTGTCCAAACCACCACCAGTTTGTCTGGTTGCCTGATCGAAAAGAAAGACATGAAATAATTTTAGGGATTTGGTTTTTTTTTTTTTTTAATAACCAGCATCATCTTCTGGTCAGTAGTGAAATTGCAGTTCCTAAACACTTTGTATTTTGCAGGCCTCCTGCTGGTACACAGACATGTACACTCACATTATGAATAAATCAGGAGACAGCTAAACCCTGCTCCTGTCTGCGTGCACTGCACTGCAGCAGTGACAGCAGCGCACACACACACACACACACACACACACACACACTAAGCTGCAGCAGCTTACTGTATGTACACACACAGACTGAAAGAGGTCAGTGTGACAAGGAAAGCAGTGTAATTAAAAAAAAAAACTGCTGCAGATACAACAACCTTCTGCCCAGTAAAGGTCACAGAGACTGAACTAACGACTCACTGTCAACACCAAACGTGTAATGTTTTATACTCGTAAAAAAAAATTCTTAAAAAACTTTATTATAACCAATTAGAAAATAACAACTGTGATGTTTTATACTTTATTATAACCAATTAGAAAATAACTTCTCTGCTGGTCACATGACTCAGACCGTCCTGATTCACGACGATGACTCTTAGAAGAGATATTTGAAAACAAAACCAGAGCAGTTCCCAGTACGACAGTGTGATAGGTCTGGACCTGCTTTGACTCTAATGGTGTGTATGTGTGTGTGTCCCTAGCTTGTGTATATATACTTGTGGGGACACGGTCTTAAAAAAAAGAATGACAATAGAGACATTTTGAAAATCGTCACTGAGTTTATCAAGGTTAGCAGTTAGAGTAAGGATTATGGTTAGGTTTATATGTTTTTATGAGTGTGTTTAACACATGTCTGTGAGGTAACGTTTAAAGAATGTTCCCAAGAAATAAATAAGAGCTTTCTCTCAAACATAAAAAGAGACCTACGGTAGAAAACGTGACAAAAATACAAAAAAAAAAAAAATTGAAAACCTAGTTAAAAGAAAACCTCCTCCAAAGTTGGTGTAAATTTACTGGAGCACTGCTGAAGACTGAGCCCAGTATTTGTGCTCTTGTGCAAAGAAAGTTTCTTGGAAGATAACAGAAAAACAACTGTTCTGGGGAAAGAATGAACGCCTGTTTGACAGAGAGAGAAAGACGACACAGTCGAGAAAGAAAGACGACGGTGGAGAACAGTGTGAGACTCATCATCACCAAAAACACTTCTTCATCTGAGGACAGGACTTTTTTAAGCTACGAGAAAAATGCCAAACATTTGCCTGCAGGCTACATCATCAGTCCATGCCTTTTAGTGTTTCTGTTGAGTTTTTTTAGGCCCTGCACAAAAATGAAAATCACAAAAAAAAACTTGCAGATTTAATCAAAATAAAAAGTTTTTCAAAAGATGGGACTGACTTTAAGGTGTGGCCCAGGAGTTTAAATGTAGATTGTTGGGTTCAGAAGTATTTGAGCAGAAATTCATGGATAATATCAAGCTAACATCACACACACACACACACACACACACCCTTTACATTGAAGGTGGTCATCTGAGAAAACTGGTATTTAGTGTAAAAAAAAAAACTTCTCAGTTCCAACATATACAAAAAAGTATTGCAAAATATCCCTTACTTTTACAGTCTGTACATTCAAAAATTAATTCAATTAATTAAATATATCATGACTTCCTTAAGGCAGAGTTTGTTCCTTGTATCGTTCAACTTGAACCATAGCCAATGCAGGACAAAAGACAAATAATTGTCTCTTTAATTTACTGTTTTTGGTAAAAAAAAAAAGAAAAAAAAAAGAGGGACCACCAGATGAGAGCTAGTGAGCTGTGTCCAGCCCCCGGGCCACAGTTTTATCAACGTCAAATATAAGCAATTATACATAAAGACTTCCACTTCAAGTGTTGATGCTGTTATGAGCATCTGCTGGTGATTTAGTGTCATTTAGCTCATTCAGTCTGATACAAACAATAATTCATCTGGACACGGTGTATTTTTCTTTACTCCCAGTTTCGTTTTCTTGAATTACAATCTAAACCTGTCAGAATAAAAACTGCTCCCTCTGTCAGAGAAGCAACATTATATTCCACTTCATTTTTGCCTCAGTTGCTTGTTATTTTTGGAAACAAATATTGTCGAAAAATAAATCAATCGTTTTCACGCAGACAAATTGGAACAGCTCCGGGTTAAGTGTGCCTTCAAATCTAACACCAGCCCAATTATGACAGAGCCGCTGAGGTGGAGTCAGGTTGGTTTAATTTAACCCCCTGGGAGAGAGAATGGACAGAGAGGTGACAAGAAAAAATAATAGGACTCTGTGGAGACGACTGACAGAGAGGGAGGGAGCCAGATGAAATCCTCTGACTGAGGCTCCAGCTACAACCTGGAGATGCACGAATGTCAAACAGGAAGATTTTGTTAACTGTTGACTCACAATTTAAAAGCAAAGGTTAAATTAGCTTAAAAACTATTATTTTGCTGTGATATTTCGATCGACAGAAGGTCAATAAAGATAAGATAAATACAACACTGAATGTACACAAAAGTTTATTCACATCAAAAGCAGATGTTCTACCTTATATTTTTGTTAATGTTTGAACATGAATAGCCATTTGAAACTCAACCCCACAAAATTAACCACTAGATGTTGCTAAATCCCAAATCAACATGTTTTCAACCAAAGGCCGGCAGTTTCTGACAGGAAGCTCTGCAGAAACGCTACACTTGTACATTAGACCTTTGCATATTTCTGACCTCGACTATTCTCTATAGTTCCATTATTACTTCCGCTGAGTTTCCAACAGCAGCGTTAGGAGTTCAGTCACACGCTTGGGTTTTTCACAGTTCAAAGAAACTCGTTTTATTTGAGGAACGTCCTGAGACTTTGTTTTCACTGTTCAACTCCTCGTGGACTACTGAAATCCAATACGGCATCGCACTTCTTTATCAAAAAAAGGAGGCTGGCAAATGTGCACCGTGAGAGAAATATGAAGATTCTAACGGGAAAATGGGATCTGTTCCTTTGAGGTACAAAAACAAAATCTTATATTGTTTTCATCCGAGAGCAAGCATAGCAGATCAATTCCATATAAACAGACTGCAGACACCTTTAGGAGACAAAAGTTTCTACTCAATATTCAGCTTTTATTTTCTGCTGAACACACGGGGCCGGAGAGCCAATCACAGCAGTCGTACAGTGTAGGTTTTTGGACTGAGGAAGGAAACAGAGAAAAGTCTTGCAACCAAAGACTTCTTGCTATAAGGCAGGCACAGTTACCGCTTCTACCAGGGTGGAACCCCTTGGCTTTCTGTAGATCCAAAAGATACTGAATGTCTTTCCTTGTACAGCTTCACTTCGCTTCGAGACGAGAGACAGAGACAGAACCACAGCCGACGAGCGCTGAGCTCAGACAAACACTGGGATCCTGTGAGGACGTCCTCGATTTGCATTTTTAAGGCAGCGATACATGAGCAGACATGAACAAAATGAGTAGAAAAGAAATTCATGATTCTTATCAATGCCAGTCACACACACTCGCTGCTTTAGTGAATGAATGAAACCACATCCTGTGTACACGGATTCCACAAGGAGGTAGTCAACAAAACTCTCCATGGACATTTAACTAACAAATCTCAACCTAGAAATAACAAAGAAAATAAAAATAATGGCCTTTTTATTTCCCTCTGCAGTCACCGCCCGGTCAGTGTTGGTTAGAGAGCTTTGGTTTAACGTAGGGAGTGTTTTCTTTGAACACAGAGCGTGCATTTACCAGCCTGCAGATACTGCAGCTCTATCCTGCAGGATGACAAACGATGACGAGTCTCCAGGGGGCTGACGGCATGAGGCTAGGACACACAGTGGAGATTTCGTCGCATTTAACACCCCATTGACCACCCTCGTAACTCCGCAATGTTTTATTTCTCCCGGTGAAGTGTGTGGGGCGTGCGTCTGGGGGGGGGGGGGGGGGGGTTTTAAAGCTC